GTCCTATGCTTACAAGGTATGTTGAAAGTAATTTCCAGCTGTGACAAGATTAACAATTTCTACTGGCCTGGCCAGAGGAAGTCTTACATCTGTCTCATATGGTAGAGCTTCTGTATAAGAGCCACGAGGATCCCTGTGTAAAGAAGCACTGCGATAATGTCAGATGCACAAATAATGAATATAACAACAGGTGGACACTCCTCCAATTAGAGCATATGTGATGTACTTTCTGGCTACCAACTGCTTTACATAATGTAAAAGACAGTTGTCCAAATATTACAAAATGCTTCTTTGTGTTGTGTTTTTATGTCATCATGGTGCCAGAGTTGCAAATACAGATTTAGGAATCTTATTCTGTACTTGCAGCCAGAAGAATATGTAAACAACACGTGCCAAATGTCGATTTATTTGGGGGTTGAAAAGGCATTTAGCAATTACTACTGTTACTATCAGCCATCTGCCTTCCCACAGGTATACTGGCTGGGTGTTTGAAAAAACAAAAAAAGTCCTGCCCCAAAGAGCTTACTATCAAAAGACCCAAATCTGCCTTCCTCCTCTATGTAAACAGCTCCATTTCATTCAGGGCAGGAGTGTAACTAGGAGTGGTTGAATGAAGGCACTGGTGGCACTGGGCACTGATGTAGAGGGGGTGTCAGAATAGCGGTCACTGGGAAGCCAGTGTCATGGGAGCAGCAGCTATGGTATGGGGACACCACATCACAGCAACATGAACCAGAGGTGGGAAGGCTGTGTTTCAGCAGCTAGGATCTTTGAGTCCCTAAGCAGGTAAAATTCTGCCCCCTACCCCAGACATTGCTGCCCAAGATGCAAAACTTCCTAGTTATGCCCTTGTTCAGTGACATTCAATCGGGAATGTTTTTCCTTGAAGACCAGAGTATGCAAAACAACGTTTGACCTTCAATATATTGACCACTGTGCCATCCTTGCATACACTGAGGGAAACCTCCGAACAACACAGGATCTCTTTGTAGAAGCCCACCAGACTTTTGGGCCTCTCTCTCAACATCAAGACGACTGAAGTGCTCTATCACCCGCTCCAGGCTATGAATGTGACCCCCTCCCCAAATTACCATTGAGGGAAAGACCCAGGAGGTGGTTGAGCCCTGCCCCTACCTCAGTAGCCACCTCTCAGAAAGTGAACACTGACGAGGAGATCCAGCACAGGCCTCTGGCTGCTTTTCCTCTCCATCCAGGAAAAGCACAGACAATCTGCAGATGCTTCCTCAGCCTAATGAAGGGTGTTTATGCCTGAAAGCTTGCTAAGAAGAATTTTTCCCACTATTTGAGTTAGTCTAATAAAAGTTATCGGATTTACCCAAAGAACCTTGTCTGCCTATGTCCTTAGACCAGCATGGCTACAACCCACACCCTTGAATATGAAAGGCATATTTTGCATACTCTGGTAAGGGAAGTGGTGCTTGCTCCTACCCTGGGGGTCTTCAAAAGAAGTCTAGATAATCACCTAGCCGGGGTCATTTGACCCCAGCATTCTTTCCTGCCCAGGGCAGGGGGTCGGACTTGATGATCTGCTCAGCTCCCTTCCAACCCTACCAGCAATGAAACTATGAAACCCTTGGTAAACATTTAGGCCTTTTAATAAATCCAAATGATCAGTCTAAAGCTCATTGAATTCCATAGGCTGTTCATCAAAACTCAAATTCCACGATCATCCTAAACTTGGAAGTTCCATTAAAATTTTTCTAGTGAAGGACCTGCTGGATCAGGCCCTATGCGATTGTTTTACATTAATGACCCTAACAAGCTTGAAGAGTTTTTCTCTTTAAATTAAATAAGCGAGCCCACCATGTGAGTTTCCCCCAGGCTATCAGGCTCCATTTCTAATTGGCTCCAGTGTATTTATTGTGTTTAGCTTTGTGGTGTTTCTTGTGCCACTAAGGAAGTTAAATTGACTTAATTGCCTGTAATACAATATACACCCACAGGGTGGCCAGGCTAGTGATTTTATTAGTGCATATGACTTTTGTCATTGTGCATGATTTCTTCAATGGCAAAAATATATACCGATTCCAAAGACATCAGAGTTTTCATATCATATGAGGGAAACTTTTAGTTTAATAAATGTATGATACAAATGAGACAAAAAAATTTAAGTGGTACCCCAGTTTTCCATATCTATATGGGGACTGAATAGGAATGTGATTCACTGCTATGTATATCTTGTCACTGTGTAAAACAGGTCACTGTGTTATGGCATATGTCACCAAATGATGATTTTATTCATAGCCTTACCAGTTCTTTTCCTTGGCAAGTTCTTAGTCTTGCAAAGAAATACTAAGTACTAGTTGATTTTCTGTTGCAATTTACTTGGGAACCTGCTGCCAGCAGTCAGGGAGTTTGCTTATGTCTTCAGTCTCCCTACCTGGAATTAATTATTGAGGCAGAGTTGCTCCCTGGAAACTAGGCAGTTCTATTTGTGTTAAGATTCCTGAATGAGTTTGTCTTGCATGTGGTTCACAACTTCTTTTCTAGGACTGATCAAAAAGGCCAAAGGTCTGCCTGAATGTAAATGGCAGGTAGTTTAGTCATACCAATCTTTTTAATCAATGTCACACCAAACTGTGATGTGCTTAGCATCGTCTCTGACTGCTTTGACTCTCCAAACTTGGAGACCAGGTGCCCATCTATAGCTGGGTTACCCAGGCAGCCTTCAGCACAAGTCCAGAGCAAAGCTTGAACTCATGCCTCTGTAGTCATAGTAAGGTACTCTGACCCTCTGCTACTGCAGATGTATGAACACAGATAGTTGCAGAAGAACAAACACTACATTAATTAGTTTCAAATTTAGGCAGACATCTGGTCTGGTGTGTGTGTTGGGGTGTGTGCGAATTATTTAAAATTTTGAGTTAAAATGTTTCAGCCATTTCTAAACAGAGAGCAGGAAAAACCACTTTAATTCTTATTTAAAAAGGCTATGAGACAGCTTTTATATTTGAGTCCCTGATCTGTTTGGGGAAGAAACTTGACATTTGGATTATGTATGTCCAAACATTGTTGGATATCTACATTGATAGTAAGTGCACCCATGTGTACCACAACAGCATGTATGTTTATTAATATCTTTGCTGGAATCCATGACTTGTCACCTTGGGACTTTAGGGGTGTATGGAGCTCAGGAGATCAGGGTCGTATGGAGATTCTTCCAGCCATTTGGTGTTAATGTTGAGCCAAAAAAACAAAAAACCCCCAAAACAAAACCCTTCAAAACTACTCAAAACAGCTAAAAAATGTTAGGTTAAGATTTTCTTCCAACATTCCTAAATAAGTTATTTGTGGGCTGAGGCAAATCATAAATAGTTTTTAGGCTCTAAGGAGAATTTTGAGACTTAGAAGTATGTGGAAGCAGGGATGAATATGAAAGCCATATTTTGCCTACTTCTTGCCTAGTATTTTTAGTTATTTTTGTATGCTCAGAAGCAGAGAATTTAGGTTTTTTCTCTTATAGTAGGGACCTTTGTCATCATTATTTATAAACACGACTTTAAGGTGTCCCCGTGGTTCATACCATTAACACATAAGGCACCTGTAATTAGTCAGTTTTTTACCTTTAGGTAGGGCAAGGTTGATGCCATGTTTAATACAGTTCTTTATAAAATATAGGTACTGTAAGCCTAGTGAAGCAGATAGCTGATGCAGTAACAAAAGAAGCCCCACTTCACAAACTCTGGTTTTCCTAAGGTTTATTGTCATCTTGATTTGAGGGTGCACAGATTACATAAAGATAGAACCAAACACAAGTCCCACCTCACCAGCACACCAGCTCTGACTTCTTCCAGGTTCATTCCAGGAAGAACAGGGCCAAGCATACCTCCCCCATGCTTCACCCACCTGTGCCTGTAGGTATGCCTCAGATCTGGGAATGTGTCCAGTGGCCACTCTCATGGCTCAGTGAATTCAAACAGCTTGTTGCGGTGTGCCCAGATGATTCTGACCAGGGGCATGCTTGGGGCACAGACCATGCATGCCAGGGGCTCTGCCCTGGGACAGGGGGAGCATCATCAGCTCCATATCCCAGCTGGGCAGGAGTCCCTCACCCCCTTGCCCTGGGTGCTCTGGTCCCAGCAGCAATGGAGCAAACTGTCTGACCTATAGGGAAGAGAAGTGGGGGAGTTGGTCTGGAGCTATCATGGCAGCTTCTGGCAGAAACCAGCCCTGGGCTGGCTTGGGTAGGGGGTGGGGAAGGCAGGCTACCTATGGTGAGTGGCAAGTAGTTCACCTCTTGCCACTGTGGAAGTGGGGATGGAGGGCTTGGTGGGCAGCTGCCTGTGGAAGGGCTTTCCCAGCCAACTTACCATGGTCCCTGGGCACCTGTTTGCACATGACTCCTGATCTGAGGCCAGGCGGTGTGCAGCCCCTCAGTACAGTGCATGTTATCTCTAAAATGTTGCAAACTCTCACAAAGCCTCTCTGTCCTTGCTCTTCAGGTCCAGCAACTGCACGCAGAGGAGAACCACCAGCTGCTGGTAGAGATGGGGCTGCAAGGTCACCATCACTATCAGCATGTGTCGCCCCCACCAGCACCAGACCCAGGACCAGATCCTGCTGTTGGATTGGCTGGTCAGAGTGGTAGAGAAGCAGCTCGTGGACTCTCGGGCCTGGTGAGCCCAGGACCTGGCGAGGGAGCAGGAGAGGGATCGGGTGTACTTAACCTTTGAGGAGAGGCATACTGCCCTCCTGGAGAGGCTGTTGGAGGCCAAGGACTGGTAGATTGCCATGGTGGTCTGAGTGTTGGAGGTGACTAAGGAGCACTGCCAGGTCTTTGACATCATCCTGGCCCGTGTGGTCAACTTTGTGCTGCCTGATGTCCAGCCCCATCAGGCCCCTGGCAGCTGCCTGCAGCCCAGCTCCAAGCCCCCGCAGTGGGCTTGGGCAGAGGTACAGTGCCATCTGTACCAGACAGGGCTCTCTGCTGCCTCCTTCCCTAGTGGTCTGTGTCTGGCCTTCTGTGTCTGGCCCCCTGCCTATGCTGTCACCCACTGCTCACCCCCCTCTATGCGGCCCCTGAGTAGGAGCTGGCTGCAGCTGGGCCAGTTCTGCACATGCGATCTGCTGGCCCCACCCTGTGGAGGACGGGGAGCATGCTGAGCCAGTCAGACAATGCCCAGCTTTACCCTTGGGGCCAGCTCCCAGCCTGCCAAGCTCACTGCATTGTTCACACCCACAGTCGTGTTGCTAGAGGCTGAGTGCCTCTCCCTGGGATCCATGTTGTGGCACCTCCACCTCATTGTTCCTCCTGTCAGTTCACAAACCAGACACTATATACAGTTGCATGGGAAGTGGGTCCTTTATTGGTGGTACATGTTGGGGTTAGGGAAGGGTGTGTTGTTGGGAGGGAGTGAGTCTGTTGATGTATGGTGGAGGGAAATAAAGTTAGGTGTTTCCTGCAAACTGTCCATAGTGCATGTGTTCTTGGGGTTGTCCTGTGGGCCTGGGGTCCATGGGTGGCTGCCCAGGTGCCCTACTGCAGGGAGTTGAGGAAGAGATAGTCATAGTGCCCTGGCTGCCCCTGCCAAGGGGACAGGAAGGAGTGTCCATGGTGCACTGGGCCTAGAAGAACATCCCCTGCCAGCCTGAGTGTGCCCCTGGAACCCACTGCCAGCCCAGGGCTGGCACCCGGGCAGCTGCAGCTGGAGCTCCTCCTGACTGCTGCACGGGGTCAGAGCAGGACAAGAGCAGTCTTGGACCTGACTGCTTCTATTGGGTGCAAATCTGTGCCCAACAGGTTGCATGTGTAGATGCATTCCAGGGCAAAGTTTAATGTGCTTGAATTTACTGTGCAGTAACATTCACGTGCATTAATTGCACTTTAGGTGCACCCACTGGGTGCATCTACATGTGCGCTTTCCTGCAGAGCTGACTAATTAGCTTTGCAGTAAAGTATCACAGTCTACATGTGCACCTGTATTATGGCTCAGTAAACTAATTAACTCCTCTGTAGGATAGTAGTGCTCAGGACAAATACTATCCTATAATGGAGTAATTACGTGTGCTCAAATGCACATGTAGACTGGGACCAGGGCTGGCTGGGGCATAAGGGTGCTGTCTACTGCCTAGCTGCATACTGTAACATCCCCATGCCCCAGCCAGCCTTTTTGCTGCCCAGTGCTGTCACATGGAGCCTAGGGCTGTGTTTACTCAGGTGCATTAGTAGCATGTGTAAATGCACCCACTGATGATTACCATATGGTTGTTTAGGTAGTTTGTAACCTAATGGATATCAGGTGGGGAAAGAAATTTACTTTTCTGTGAAAATATATCAGATACCATTTTTATTGGTATAATTTTGTTTTATTTTTTCCTTTCAGTTCAGATAACAGTGAACATGGCTTTAGTACAGTTTGACAGACATATTTTATTCCTTGTTTAATTAGAAAGTTTGTGAGAAATTAAACAGAAAAACAGCAACAATTTCATGCAAAGAAGCGATGACACATGCCTTGACTCATTCTTACACAGGGCTGCTTTGCCCAAGGCATGATATGTCCCTGAACTTGGGCAGGAAGTATTTCAGTTGAGCCAGAACTTCAAAGTAAAAAAAAAAAAAAAAAAAAAAAAATGTTTACTCTTCTGGATCAATTGCTGATCTCTTTCCTTGTCTCATACAGTAACTGTTGGTCCCCTGGTCCTACTTTGCAGGCAACTTTTGATGGTAGAGTTTCTATTAGTGGGATGTACTCTAAGTATCCCAAAAGAGATCATTAGGTATCTCTGCATGCTTTGTGTCTGGGCTAATCCTCTTTAACGAACAGAATAAAATGGTGACTTTTTAAAAATGATATTGTCAGATTTCAGTTTCAAACATAAAACTGGATGCTTCATAGTCTAAGTTTTGGCTGCTGCTTTTTTTGGGGGCGCGGGGAGTGTTCCTTTTCTAATCTTACAAAAGTCTATGAAAGGAGACCACACCATTTCAAAGTCTGCTGCTTTAGTCTGGAAGTAGCATGCACCCTTCTTTAACTGAATCAAATTCTATATAGCAATACATCTGTGTTGAAATGTGGGAGGTCTTAATGTGGTACATTTTGTTATTTTATTTCTTGGGGGCAATATGTCTTATGGCAACTAGCAGGCTTATTTTTTAATGTATTTTGTCAGGCCCTTTATTAAAATGTTGGATATCTACATCTATAGTAACTGCACCCATGTGTACCACAACCACATGTATGCGTATTAATGATTTTCCTGGAATCAGTCCTGTTATGTTGGGAACTTAGGGGTGTATGGAGATCGGAACAGCAGGCCATTGAGCTTGCTTCTTTCACATTTCTGGCTATACCTGAACTTTACTACACACTAGGGCGTGATTCACTGGTGTTCACTAGAGGATGGGGCCCAGATTATGTATTTTATGGGTGGAGTAATGTAGATTCTCCTGTGTGATGATTATCGTATTGTTCAGAGCACAGAGCATATATTTATCAGAAGAAACCTTTGTTGTAATGGTGGGATAGGATCTTTCAATAGTTATCTGTTGTTTATGTTGCTTTTTGTCACTCAGTATCACAGTGAGCATACTGCAATGTGCATTTTAGGTAAGATCAATAAGCCAGTCACATAGTACAGTTATCTTATAGAGGCATATCTTTCATGCAAGGGTGACTCACATTTTCAGCTTGTGAAATATGGTCAGGTTATAAAATCCTATGACATTTTTATTCAAAGCCTTTCACATTTTACAGTTGCCATCTAGAGTCTCAGGGCTGCAAACTAATACCAGGCAGCTACTTTATGGGCCTTTTAATGGTCCTCAGGGAGGAAGCAACTGTTTTGTTTCATATCAAGGCTGGAAGTATTGACATTAACATTTTGATATCACTTTGATTACATTTAAGTTAATAACATCAGGATAAAATGGTTGTTTCTATGAACTCAGGGGAATGCTGATTGATTCAATGGTCCAAACTCTTTATCTTGTTTACACCAGAGAAATCCCAGAATAATTACTGAGATGAGCGGAGATGATCAGGATGTACAGCATATAACTAGGAGAAGAACAGCCTCATTACGAAAGCTTCTTGAAAGTAAAAAAAATTGCCTCCATTTCAACTTTCCATAAATAATGGAAGCAAGGAAGGTGAAGTGAGAAGTGTTGGAAGTAAATATGCCTCAAATACCATGCATTTCAGTTACAATGTTTGCCAAGCCAGTTAGAAATGTAAAATGACCCAAATTTACAACAGTATGAAAACACAATTCCTGATAATGACCAACAAAAAAATGCCACGGCTCTTTCAAACATAAAAAGTACTGGGACTGTAGGGATGCCCAGAGGCTGTGATTTTCTTCAAAGGACATCATAATGCCATGCAACCAGAGGTCAGAAAAATTGAGACTGTCAGAACAGAGCCTAAAGTAGCTCTAGCCAAACATAACTGCTGCTGTCAAAGATAAGATATTTAAGATAGTTAAATACATGAAACCTGCAGTAATTGGAGGAAACCACATGTAAAAGCCTAAATTAAACCACATGAGATTCTTGATTGCATTTAGTCCAAGATTGACACATTCTGTTGTTGTTTTCTTAATTAAGCAGGAAAGATGCATTGAATTAGTGGAATACTACCTATTTCTTTAAAATTAGCCCATTCTAATCACATTAAGCTGCAGCTTCTTTGTCATAGGGTTTAGTAGGGTGCTGCAGTCTTGAAACTGGAACAAACCCCCAAATCATATACAAAAAACTAAAACATCTACTATAAATTATTTTAATTTTATTTAAAAATATTTTTGTACTGATTTGTGTTTGCAAAGTGTATCTAGAAGTGATTGCATCATAGCTCAAAATACAGTCCTACTGTATATTGTGTGTGGGTGGTAAGCTGGTGTATGTGGGGGTGTGTGTGCGGTGGGCAGTGGGTATGGTGTGGGTGTGGAGGGTTGTGGGGTATGTGGTTGGTGTCTGAGCTGTGGGAGGGTGTGGGATTATGGTGGGTGGGGTGGGAGACAAAGAGAGAGAGAGAGAGACGGGCCCGGGCTTCTGGGTCCATTGTGTGCAGTTCTCACCTACTGTGTGCGAGCCTCATGGTGCAGCCAGGCAGACCCCACGCCCAGGCTCCGTACTTTTGCCACCCCACCCTGGGTCCCTGCCAGCCCCAGGGCACCGGCACAGGATCCGCACTCCCACCCACCTACACCAGTCCCCTGCCATTTCCCTACTTTCCCTCTTGCTTGCCTGCCCACCACTGCTGCCCCCACTTCCCAGCTGCCACCCCCACCACTCCCAGGGTCCCTGCTACTCCCCATGCTGCTGCTGCTTTCTGTGGCCTGCACTGCTCCCTGTGCCATTACTGTTCCCTGCTGCTCCCCATGCTGCCCATTTCCCAAGGCACCTGCTGCTCTCTGTAACACTGCTGCTTCCCACAGCCACCCTGCCATCCCCACTTCCCTCTGCCCCTCTCCTGCTGCTTCTTCCTCTGGCTTCAACCCAGCCCAGTCAGCCCCACACAGCTCCCAGATGCTGGGAGGATCACAGCAGTTTCCTCACCTTCCTCCATCTGATCTTATCTTACTTTCCATTCAGATGGAGGGAGGCAGGGAACAACTCCAGGGTCACAAGGCCCAAAGCCACAGAGGCTTCAGGTTGGGGGCTGGAGGTGGGAGGAGGGTGAGGGGTGGGAGCAGGG